CACATAATGGATTTAGATTAACTTATTACACAGAAGTTGAACTAAGTAGTTACAAAATTGGGTTGAATATCATCTCTTTGGGAGAGTTGAGCAACAAAGCCTTCTCCCACACTAACACACTTCCAGAATGTCTTTAGATCTTCAAGAAGTATTATACTTGAAGGACTGATCCTCTACAGAATTGTTTTATCATGGGGTGAACAGTGAATCAAAGAACTCTGTTAATACTGAGTTCAGTACAGTACATTTCAGTAAAGCTTTGGATACTGTCTCTCATGGGATCCTTCTGGACAAAATGTCCAGCACACAACTGGATAAACACATCATGCAATGGGTGAGCAACTGGTTCATGGGTTGGACACAAAGGGTTACAGGGAATGGGCTGGCATCCAACTGGGGTCCTGGCTCTCACAGAGTTCTGCAGGGATCCGTGGCCTGTTGTTCTTCAGCAACTTCATGAGCAACTTGGACTGGAAGGGATACTAAGCAGTTTGCAGGCAGTACAAAACTGGGAGGAGCTGTTGACTCTCTTGAAGTCAGAGAGGCCCTGCAGAGAGACCTCAATAAATCAGAGGCCTGGGCACTCATCAGCCATGTGTAGTTAACAAGGGAAAGTGCCGGATTCTGCACGTGGAATGGGGAAACCCTGGATGTAGGGACAGACTGAGGAATGAGATGCTGGAAAGCAGTGGCACAGAAAGGAACCTGGGAGTCCTGGTTTTTAGCAAGCTGAAGATGAGCCAGCAGTGCCCTGGCAGCCAGGAGGGCCAAGCATGTCCTGGGAGCATCAGGCACAGCATCACCAGCCAGGCAAGGGAGGGCATTGTCCTGCTCTGCTCTGTTGATGCAAACCTGTAGCTTGTGTTACCTAAGTGATGATTTGTTTAAGATCTATATTATACCAGAAAGAATGTTACGAGTCAGAATGAGCATAAGGCTTGTAATGTGGAATCTTCACCTATTTTGGACTTAGTTGCTTTGCTGATCCTGAGCAGAATAGTCTTGAAATAATGTATGCCTTTGGGCTTTTCAAGAAAGGGCTGTGAAGTTTAAAAGCAGCTCACCAGTGCCCTTCTGAGCTAAAAGGTGGTAAACATAATCTGAATCCTCCTCTCACGAGGTAGATATCCCAGCATTACTATCCAAGGGAAGAATACCAAGGCTGTGCCAAATTGTTGTTCAATGTCAAGTTCCTTATCGTTTGCTTTTGAAGATTAAGATTAGCAATTTGGAGGTTCCAGTGATTGTAATGTTACATGTGAGCCTTTAGCAGCAAGATAAAGTCTTGCTTGTTATCCAGAAATACTAAAAACATGAAAAAGTTGTAGCGTAACTGGTCCTGTTTAAAAACAGACAAGCAAAGACAAAGAAATATAAATGTAAAGAGGAATTTCTCATTCTGTTGCATGTGAGACCTTATATGTGGTGGTGGGAGAAGAGAGAAGATAATCCCAGGGATCACCAGTTGCCTCTGAAGCTCTGAGAACTCTTCTTTCCACTTTAATTCCATTTCATGGTACATTTTCTCTGGAGGCTTTATACCGTGTGTGCTCAGATTTCACTGTACTAGAATATTGCTTTTGTGGCATTGATCACTTCGGATCTGTGTGGATGCTGCTTTTTGTTTCAGCAGGAATAGTTTCAAAGATGTTGAAAAGTGATTAAAATGCTCACTTTTACAGCAGGCCTTGTGAAGACAAAGGATGGCTATAGAAAGGGGCTTTCCTATGAAGGTGATAAGGATTTGTAAAGAATTCTGACTTCAGATTGTTAAATGTGTTAATTTGGAGAGTGCTCACTAGAGATTAATTGCACTTAATTGTATACATATACTGAGAGGCTCCCAGTCTGTCCTCTTGACTGTCCTAATTGTTCTTCATTTGTTTCATGCTCCTTAGGCTGCACTGTCACTCACCTCCTTCATGTCTTTCACCCTTCACGCCTTTTAGCTTCTCTACTTTAACCAGTCAGCTGTGTTTCCATCTTCTCCTCTGCTATCCTTCTGTGATTTATTTTCACCAAAGCAAAACTACTGCTGCTTTTCCACCCATGGTTAAACATAACAGGAAAAAATAACCTCGAGTAAACCCGCAACTACATGCTTTGAGCAATGAAAACAATTCTGAGTTTAACAAAACTATGCATTTTCCATTTGCTCCAAATTGCAGGTACTGACCCAGGAACCTTGGCTTTGTATACTTTCATTTAGTGCTTTGTTGAAGAAGGCTTTAAATAACTTCTCAAGAAAATGCAGTCTCTCATATGTGAATATCTACGCACATGGTAAATCTGTGGCACTGTGTAACTTGTGATTCTTGTTCCTGTGGGCCATAAGCTCTGAGAAATAGAAAGTAAGTAGCATGTATTAAAATCAAGTTGAAGTCAGTTTGTCAGATAACAAACCACAGTATTTAGCTGAATCACAGTGAACTGTTACACAGAGAGAACAAATTATGTAGTCTTAGAATTTATATTTGATTGTCTTATTGCAACGAACTATAGATAATAGAAAACCGTGTACTAGATAGGTGATCACCAGAGAAAGGCATGTCTAAATATTTCATTCTTATAGTTTGCTAGTCTCCTTTTTAGTTGTCTTTTCACATTCTGAAAAGCTTCTATAAGTAGAATGCTCTTACTTTTTCATTAAATTATGGCATAGAGGCTTGCTTTTAACCTGTAGTTAAAGCTGGTTGTTCCTGCATTCATGAAGGCAATAGATGAAAGCTTGATTTAGAAAAACTCTTTTAAAGCTTCCTGACTCCAAAAGAGCTACTTTTCTTAGTGGAAGTGAAACTTTTCTTAGTTTTTAGGATATTGTCAGGATATTTTAAAAGGTAGAGTCTTGTTTCTGAATGAAAGTCTGTATGCATATGTATCTTGTAATGATTTTAAAAGCTAAGTTTGGATTAACCTGATGTAATCATCAACATGCTTGCTGAGTAGTTACTTTTTGGAAAGATGTGTGATGTTTAGCAAGTTCTGAAATTATACTGAATTGTAAGTTAAGAATTCATCCTGGAAATGTTCCTTTTAATTCCTTTATTAAACTGTTAACCTGGTGATGATAGTGAAACAGTCTTGTGTAACTTCAATTAATGGCCCTTGTAAAGTGAAGACCTTTAAATGATTCTCTGATTCTAAAAGATATAGAACATAAAAGTCACTTCGTAAAGATGCCTGAGAGAAACTTAAGTTTGAAAACTGATTGTCTCCCTCTATTCAGGTCATCTATCATTACTCAGCCTACATGGATGTGTAAATGGTGGTTTAGTTACTGATTATCTGTTTCTCTACACACACCTGTACATCTAATTTAGGTGATGTTTTCTTTCCCCTTCAGGTATGTTGAGCATAGATCACTATGCCACAGGTTTGTTTTTCCATTCAGTAGAATCCATTTGTTTTACAAAAGACAGACTTTGCAGCATTTATTGGCATAGATAAGGTGATTTAAATCAGGCAAACAGGGTCAGAGTTTCCAAGATCCACAGGCTTGTGCTTGTTTTGACTTCAGGGGGAGCTGACTAAATTCTTCTGAAATTATGGCCATGAGGCCCTAGCTACAAGTTATTGGTACTCTTGAAACACAATACAGGTATTTACTAAATGTTGTACTTTTCATCACATTTGCAAGACCATATTTGTAATTAAATGTACTGGGTTAATCCAGGCAGAAGCATTATGCATATGGTGCTTTTATAATTTCTTTTCAAATGGGTTTTTAATTGGAAAGCTATAAAAGAAGAGGACTTGAGAGGTCTTTTCCATTCTTTTCTGTTTTTACACCAAGGTGATTGCCCTGGTGTCTAAATTTCAGTCGTATTGGTTGCAGTGGACAGAACTCAGTTTGACTTTTCTGAAATGCAGTACAGTTTTAAAATTACTTCTTCATTTTAAAATTATTTTTCCCATACTCCGGTTTTATTCTAACCATCTGGAAAAGGTTTAGAAGCACAAGTGGAAAATAAAAATCAGCAATTGAAGCTGGGAGGGTAAAACTGCAAGGATTATTTACCCTCATGCTTCACCAAATAAACTGATTGGCATCTGGGATTAAATGAACTTCCTTCCACTCAGCAGCATTAGTGTGTTGTACCATTAGGTTCATGCTTTTGATTGTATGTCTGTGACATCCATGGGGCTTTCTCTGGAAAAAGAAGGATGAGTTACTTTCATTGTTGATCACTTACAGCCTCCTAATCCGGAGGTTTTGGTTTATACAAATACAAAGAGCGGGGGAGAAGGAGTAATGTCTCTACTCAAATGCAGTGAGTAAAGCTGGAGCCTCTGTGAGCCAGGTAGGACATCTGCTAGGGTTGAGTGAGCAGCCAGCCCTGAGTTAGCTGCTCACTCTAATAGCAGCTAATTTCCTTTGTCCTCAGATCAAATTTGTACATACCTTTCCCCAACCCTGTCACTACTTGGGGTAGCTGATGGTGGAACCTGCAGCCTGTCAAAATGTGCAAAAAGTATGCTCCACATCTTTCTACATTTGCAGGAAAAATATGCAGGATGCAGGGAAAAGCTGTTAATCAAAGAAAAAAGAAAGCTGGAAAAGCTTTCATCTGTATTTTGGAAGAATGCTTGAGGAACATCCTCTGAATATGGTGAATTATCTTGAATTTTCATTTATAGGAAAGCAGAAATACTGCTGTTGGAAAATAAACCTTGACTAATAAAGGACTTACTGCTGTCCCTGTCTTTTCATGAGAAAAATCACACAACTGGGGCATGTTCAAGAGAGCAAGGCTATCTCAGCATTGGTTTCAGTGAGGATATGGTATAGTTTGTTGGGTTTTTGTTTCCTTGTGGTGGAAATAGAAGGGGAATTTTTTTTTTGGTTGAAATTAGGCAAATACATAGCATCATCTTCTGCCCTTTGTGGTGAGCAGTGCTGTTGTGGCTTTTTATAGTCATTTTCATGCTCACTCATTTTGTGTGAAAAACCCTGCAGTTTAAATCTCTACAATGTCTGAGAGTCGTGATTTCTCTTTCAGAGTTCAGATGGGTCCCTCTCTGAGGTTGTGCAGAAATGGAAGGAGTATCAGCTCCAGTGCCAGAAATACTTGTATGAGACACCCCCCATTGTGGCAGGTAAGCTGATTTGGTAGAGATAGGATGTATTAATTTTTAAAATGCATGATAACAGTAGCAAGGGAGTGATTATGAACTTGGAAAATACTTCTTTCTGGTTCATTGCTTCTTTATCCCATTTGCTCCTGCCTGCTCTCTGTGGGGCTCTTCCTTCTGCTGGGAGAAGCATTTTATGGAGCAATTTCATTGTAAAGATGTTTGTCCTTAGGTCCAGAGTGTTATGCAGTGGCAAGTGGTATCTGTACCATATCAAACAGCCACTGATGTAATAGACCTGAAACTTCTTTAGGTATCAAGGTGTTAAGAAATCTGGGACCATGCTGTTCATATTGAACTAGGAGTTTGTGGGTTGTAAGCTGTTCTGAGCCTTGTAAAATGCTGAAATGGCTTTGGAAAAGGCAGCAAGTGACTTAAGGAGAATGTAGCTTGTCTTAGTCTTTGAGCTGCTGTAATATACTGAGAGCATCTGTGATGTGCCAGCATCGTGGTGTTTAGAGGACAAGTGTTGGCTTGTCAATAATGCTCACAGTTGGACACCATGCAGACTCTCCTCTGCTTCAGTGCTTTTGTGACACACTGAAGATGTGTCTAAAGGTGTGCCTGTGAAGAATTATTTCTAAACTGTTAATATTCCTTGTCTTAACTACATTATTATGTCAGAGTGAGAGCAGTAGCTGATGACAATGGCAGGGACACATTCATCTCCCTCTGCTGCATTATTCTGTTGAGCAGTTGAGTGCTGCCCTCTAAGAATGACAGTTTAATGAACCTGAAGTAGAAGTATTCTCATGTTGATTGAGCTGTAATGCAAAGTTATGGTTGTGTGTGGGTATTTCATTGGTGGACCTATATATTAGGGTAGACTTTCCAACTGCATGAATTTGAACCATTCTGAGGAATTATTATCTTTAGTGTTCATAGCAAAAATGACTTTAAATTAAACTGTGACAAGTAAGAGTGTAAAAAATTATAGGTAAATTAATACTAATCCATTACTTTCTTGTCTGTTGAGTCAGTGTAAGACCCTAATCTGTTCCTTAGTTCCTCCCTGAAACAACAGATTCCTGTTTGAAGATAAACTCACTCTTTTGGATAAATAAATGTCATATAATTCCACATCAGAGCTTAAATGCTTGTGTCATTTCCTTTTATATTCTGCTTTTCAGTCTTTTCCTTCCTGCTGTATTAGTACAAGGCAGTGGCATGAGCCTCCCTTCTCTCTCTCTGCAGAAGGCAAGTTCTGCAACAGAACTTTTGATGACTATGCCTGCTGGCCAGATGGACTGCCTGGCACCTACGTGAATGTCAGCTGCCCCTGGTATCTTCCCTGGGCTAATGCAGGTAAGAGCCTTTCCTTATAGGCACAGCTTTAAACCAATCCTGTTTGCCTTGCCCAGTCTTAGCAAGGACAAGATTGGCTTAAATGTCTGAGTGCAGTCAGTTCTCTGTAACATAAAGGTAGGGACTTGTGTTGATATGATACATTCTTTATATTTGTTTAGCAGGAGAAGATGAAAATGAGAGAACAGACTTCTTAAAGGTTGTGTTTAGTTTGGATATTTTTTGCTCTCATCTGGTTTTGTTGCTTGGATAGTGGTGATTATTAATAACTTAGCCTTCAGCAAGCACACAGAGCTGTCTTACAAAGATAATGGCTTAGTTGGAAAACTGAGATAAAAGTAACAAAGGTAACTGGTACATCATCCTGTAGAAAATAGAGATGGAAAAGTCTAAAGTGAAAGTGTTTTGTGCTGCTTCCTGAGGTAAACTTGTTTCTCACAACACTGTGAGATGAAGGCATTTTCAGTGATTGCAAAGACTTCTTCCATGAAGGACTGAATGGCACCTTTAGATTTTACAGCCTTATGTGCATGTACACTTGAAGGCAAGGTGTATTGGATCATTTTGTCTAGCATTCTGTCTTTCAAACCAGTGACTTGTACAGCTTGTACTTTGTGAAGACCTTTCTATGCTTTGAAGTCTAAATGAAACAGTTTATTAGCCAGCTCCGGCAGTGTGGAGAATTGGCTTTGGCCTCTGCTAAAGGACAGAGGATATTAGTTAATGAGGATATATAGTTCTGATTGATGGGTGCAAAGTGTATGGTGTAAGTATGGAGAAGATATTGTGTTGGTATGGAGGGATATCAGGAATGACGAAGAAAAGGGGTGACATAGTCAGAGATTACTTAAACGTGTTGTGAAGTGTGGGACATTGGCATAATACAAATAGCATGAAATAAGGGGTGGAGATGGTCTTGGGTCTGGCTGAGTTGGAGATTACTTTCTTCACAACAGCCCTTGCTCAGCTTCAGAGCACTTGCTCCAAACCCTGCCCAAGGCCAGTGAGCCTGGCGGTCTGCTTGAGGTTGGGAGGTGACGTAATTGGGACTGGTGATCTGATGGGCTATTCCCGCTCTATTATGCGGTTGGCAGTAAAGCTCAGGGAAACGGGAAAGAAGAGGGAGAAGTGAGTAGAGACATTCAGTACTAGTCAGCATAGGTTTATGAAGGTGAAATCATGCATGATGGTGTCTTCCCACGTAATGGTTATCCATGCTGAGGCCCTGCTTTCCACCAAGTGGATGGATGTCTGCCTGTGAATGGGAGGCAGTAAATAAATTCCTTATTTTGATTTACTTGCATGTGCAGCTTTTGCTTTATTTATTAAACTGTCATTATCTTGAAGGGTTGGTGGTGTGTGTGCGTGTAAATTCCCACACTTAAATCAAAATGTCACCACAGCACTGACAAAGGTTAAAAATTTATGCATACAATAGTACTACACCCCTTGGCCCTTCACTGCTTTACAACGACAAAGGATTCCCTTGTAGTTGTACCTCATCCACCAAGGAAGCCCAGAGACTGTGAAGAAGTCTCTGCCCTGGTGCCTGCAGCATCTCTTCACCTCACCTCCATCTTCTCTGAGCTTAATGCTCTGCACAGGGCTGTTTCTCACACTTTTTTTCTCACTCCTCACTGCCAGGCAGTGTTTGGTTCTTTCTTGCAAACGTTTTCCCTGAGGTGCCATGGTTTGGTTGATAAGGTGGTGTTAGTTCCTAGGTTGGACTTGATCATCTCAAAGGTCTTTTCCATCCTAGTTGATTCTGTTATCTTGGCTGAGGGGCTCAGCTGTGCCCTGGCAGTGGATCTTTGGAACCAGTCGTGTCCAGCATGGGACAGCTCCAGCCCCTCCCTGCAGAAGCCACCCTTGGTTACCTCTTCAGCCTTGCCTGCTTTCCTAAGTGACTTCAAAAGTTAAAATGCTGTTTGCTAATCCTCCTCAGGCTACTAAAGACGTTATGCATTTGGAATGGATAAGCAAGCTTTTTCAAGTGTAATGAATTAATATTTACCTCGTAATTAACATGAAATCACTGGATACGGCAGAATTTTTTCCAATAATGCTTTTCTGTCTGGATACCTAAAACTCTTTACCGACTTTAACTTCTTTCCTCTAAACCTGTTTATTTTCAGTCTTTAAGACCCTGGACTTTCAACTACTCTTGAAACCACTGGTGGAAAAAGCCATGGTTTAATGCAATACTGCAGATTAATAAATTACTTGAATGTGCAATATCTTTCATACTTTTGGAAACAAGTTTTTTTAAAAATTAATTATCCTGAAAATGGTGTTTGTTTCAGTGAGAAGAGCAGCATTTTGTAAACTCCTTGCTAGGGAGAATTGCAAAACACTTCAGAAAATCATTAAACCCTTGGATTTGTTCCTTTGTTGAGCAAATTGTGCATATACTTCAACCTCTGTTTTATCAGCAAGGAATAAGAATGGAACAAGGAGGCCTTTCACTGTCCAATATAAAACAAGAAGTTTATATCTCTGCCAGTATGCAGTTTAGGAGCCTGAATTACCATCACCTGATAGAATTCCATGACATCTTATGGAGTCATGTTCAAAGTGAATGGTAATGAGCTGCTGTGATGAAGAGGTAATGTCTTTGTAACAGAAGATCTAGAGCAATAGAAAATTGAACACCCTCTGGTTTAGAGTGGTCACTGAAGGATCTTTATCACTTGTTCTTGCTTAGCCCCCTACTTGGAACTTGAAGTAGGTTCTAGCAGTGCAGGACTTCCATCTCATCTCCTGGAAATGGAGAGGAGGAAAAGATTAAATGTTGTTTGGGAAGTACCTTCAAAACATGTTTAGGGAAGGTCATCACTTGGCAGAAGCACTTCATACTTGTACTCAAATATTTAAGACTGCTGCTCCTGACTAGGAGTCAGGTTTTCAAGTTTGTAGAAAGTTTGCTGGGGTATACCCCCAGAAATCCCCTAGGAATTGAATTGAGTCACTTGAAACCAAATGGGGTACTGAAATAGAGGAAGCATTGAGTTTGAGTCTCTTCATGATTTAACCACTTCGGTATAAAAATGTAGAAGAGCTGGAAGCAGGGAAAGGTGATCCGGGCAGCATACGCTGGTCATTAAGGGATAGCATTGGGAAAGCCATAGCCCATACAGAATTTTGTCAAGTGAGATGAAGAGGAACAAAAAGGGCTTCTAAACAGATAGGAGAAAAAAATGGGGAACCACTGCTGAGTGCAGCAGGAGACTCTTTGGCAAAGGATGGGGAAATTACTGAAGTATTCATTGCCTTCATCATGGCCTTTACTGGTAAGAGCCACTTTCAGCAATCTGAGGCCGCTGTGATCAGTGATAAAGTTGGAAGCAATGAAGACTTAATCAAACTGGATGAGAATTAGAAGATGGAACACTTCATGCAGCATACCCAAGTCCACAGCAATTGGTAGGATGTACTGATGAGTGGTGAATGAGCTGATTAATACTGATGTGAGGTCACTTTTGAGTATCTTTGAATGGTCATAGCAATTGAGGGAGATTCCTGCAATTGTCACCGCTATCTTCAAGAAGTGCAAGGATGCAAATCTGGGGAATTACAGGTGAGTGGCCTTCTATCAGTCCCTGGCAAGTAACAGAACAAATAATCCTGGGAATGGGTTCCTAGCACTTAGAGGGCAAGAAGGTGATTAGGAGTAGTCAGCATAGGTTTATGAAGGTGAAATCATGCATGATGAACCTGATAAGAGGACTAGCCTGGTGGCTAAGGGAAGAGCAATGGAGGTGTTTTTCTTTAATTTAGTAAGACTTTTGACGCAGGCTCCCATAACATCCTCTTTGACAAACTGATGAAGTGTGAATTAGTCAAAAGGCTGAAAAAATGAACTGACAGGCATCCTATGAGGTTCTGCCCCTGGGGAGGAATAGTTGGGTGTATCAGTGCTGACTGGCTGGAAAACAACTTCACAGAAAAGGCCTTGGAGGTACTGGTGGACACCAAGCTCAGCATGAGCAGCAATGTGCCCTTGAGGCAAAGGACAGCAGTGGCTTCCTGGGTTGTATTAGAAAAGCATTAGTGGCAGTTCAGAAGGATGATCCTTCCCCTCTACTCTGCGGGGGTGACACATCTGGAGTGCTTTGTCTGGTTCTGAGCTTCCTGGCATGAGAGAGACATGGACTTATTTCAGCAGGTCCAGCAAATGATTGTGAAGTTTATTGAGGAATGGGAGTGTCTCTCTTACAAGATAAGACTGAGAAAGCTGGTCTTCTTCAGCCTGGAGAAGAGAAGCCTCAGGGAAAATCTTATCAATGTGTATGTTCACATATTGAACTACAGAAAATTTCCTGTAAACATAATTATTTCACGGTGAGGTTTGTCAAATACCTAGGACAAGTGACCCAGAGAGGTTGTGGAGTCTTTGTCCTTGAAGAAGATGATCATAGCCTGACTAGACATGAACCTGACAAACTTGCTCTAGTTCCTTGCTGTATTAGGAAATATCCGGAGTCTCAATCCAGTGTTGATTGCTTGTGATTCTCTGCTTCTGATTTTTTGGGTTTTTTTTGTTTATAAGATAAGTTTTGGTAAATTATTGTCAGATGTTAACAAATTTCTGTTTGTGTCAGCCAGAATGCAAGATGGGGAGAAGAATTTACATGGTAAACATTTGGAAAGCTGGAGCATTCCTTAGGGAATTCCAGGTTTTGCAAACTGTGCTTTAATAGCTTTGCTGTTCATGTACCACTCTTATCCTCGTGGCTGTCAGTCTTGAGTCTGTCCTTCTGCAAATCTCAACAGCAGATATGGCCCAGCAGGTTGCCTAGCAGAGTGGCAAGCTGCAAGTGGGATGAAGAACTTTTTACGTGCTCAGCAGGTGTGTGAGTATTCCAGCTGCACATGATGTCAGCTCTTGTCCCTACGTGATGCCACAGAGCTGCTCACTGAGGTGTGACATTCTTCTTGTTCCTTTAATGTGGCAGCTTCTGAATCCCTGTTTGAATTGTGGGCATGGTTCAGCAGTGGTG